ACCATCTCAATGGCTCGCGGATCATTTTCTCGGATGAGGCTCTTCCCGGCAGTGCATCAAGACAGCACTTCATGGCTCCGAATATGACCCAGGAAGTAGTCGTAATCTCTCCTGGTCTTCCTACACCTCCCTCAAGTCCGTTCCACAACAGTTCAGCCCCTGCATCGTCACAGCACAAGGCAAGAGTACAGCTGTAACACATTACTGCTGCAGACATTATTCCACATGTGTGTTGAGAACTTTATTATACATATGCACTGGGATCCAAAGATCTAAAACCACATAAAAAATCTAGGATTCCAAATCTAAATTAAACCTGGAATTAATCTGATAGTTTTAAGATTTAAAAAATGAAGACAATGTTTAAGAAATATGTCAGATTCTGCAGCTTTCTAGGTCACTAAATTTAAATGTAAATATTTAATTAAATAATTAAAATATAAATAATAATAAAAAAAAATCATTAAAACATTAAAAGGGACATAACTAAACACTCATACTTTCTTATGTGTATGTATACATTTTTGTTTCAACTCTATTTAGTTCAATTCAACTCTAAACTAAACTTTTCCACATTATGCTTTGGTTGAGTAGCACTGACACAGTGTTGTTTTTAACTTGAATTAAAACTTAAAAAAATAAAATAAAGCTTAAATAAAGCTTAAATAAAATAAAATAAAATAAATACAATAGAAATTGTAGATGAAAAACTTGAACTTAAAAAACTTAAATGAAAATAGAAATGTTGCTTTGGCAACTAACTGAAATAAAATAAGCAGAAATACTAAAATATAACTAAAACTGAAATAAGAATAAAAATATATTTTTTATTTATATTTGTTATTTATAATAACAATAAAATAAACGAAAGCACATAACAAAATTGTTAAAAATTAAACAAATTGACATTGAAAATATGAAAACTGAACATATTAAATTAAAAACTAATTCAAAATATTAATATATAATAGTAAATAATCCTAAAATAACGCTGACATTATTACACACTGACTTGGATTGAAGTGTGCAGCTGCATAATTTATATTTTTCTGCCCCCTGTTGGCGTTAATTAAAAAGGGACTCTTAGAATACAGTGTGTTAATCCTGTTTACAGTAACTTGAAATACATTTTATTATTATTATTTATTATATAGTGTCCCCAAACGAAGTATTTGGACACTTAAACCACACTTTAAATGCGTTTGCACCAGATAACAAACTATCACTCCAAGTGCCATGTTTTTGGGTCACTTTTTACAAAGTATAACTGATGTTATATATGTGTAATATATACCTAACATTTCCTATTTGCCTGTATTCTCTTTAATTCACTATTAAAGTGTGATTGTCATATACTGTATCTCTGACTATGCACTAATGTTTCCAGCAGGTCGCTGAGGTCAACGGAGGTGGATTCACAACACACAGTTTCGGATCCTACTATGGGCTGACTCAGACAAATGGTAACAAAACATTTGATTAGTTTTGGCAGTTTTTGACTAAATTATAAGAATTCCTATGTGTATCTTATCTGTGATTATAAGTATATGTAACTATAGGTTTCTGTGCTTGGATGGGAAGAAATTGGAACATTTGAAATTAGAATTGAAAATATTGTATGTTCATATATTATATTAATATTTTGTGCAATTCCATATGTGTTAAGTTGTCATCTCTCTGTCTTTCAGTTGAATTATCCGATGGTGGGATATGGACCGGAGGTTCTGCCACTTTACCCAGGATGTCTGGCACCGGAGAGGAGCGCTTAATCAAGTTCTCTGGAATAGGTCCTGTAGATGAGACAGGCATGCCAATCGCATCCCGATCTGTGAGTCTCACTGAACCACTGCAGTCCCAGAATGCATTCGTGTCATGCCTTCAGTCAGTTTGATATTACAAGAAAATCCATGGCTATTGTTTCTGAATTAGCCAAATTAGCCATGAATACACAGTGTGCTATAAATTCTCTAAAAATTAAACCATAAAAAAACATTTGAAATAAAAGAAATAAAATAAACATGAACTGAAATAATATTATATAGTAAAAAAATTAAATGTATTTTATTTCAGCTAGAAAAGAAATTCAAGGCAACATTTCTTGTTCTTATTTAACGTTATATATTAAAATACTTAAATTTAAAACAAAAAATATTAAAATATAAAAAAATACAGGAATAAAATTGAATAAATACTATATAGACATAAAAAATAAAACTAATATATATATATATATATTGTGTGTATATGTATTTTGTTTGTCTTGTTTTAAACAAAAATCATAAATAATTTTGTTATTTATGCTTGAAACAAGAAAAACTATTTGCCAATGGGATAAAAAAAAACTTCAAGACATGTTCAAAATATAATAAAATAAAAAAATCAAGATATATTCTCTGAAGATGAATGGTAATATTATATGCAGTTTTGCTACCCTAGTACACTAGTACATAATAAAATAAATGCATTTGTTGCACTTTTTACATGCTTTATACATCACTATTTGAATTTTAGAATTTTATTAGATTAATTGTTGAGATTTTTATTCTGACATTTTACTTGTAAACAAGACAAAAATATTGATTAGACGTATTTTTGAAAGAGTTTGTGCAATTATGTTTTGTTTTTATTTTGAACAATGCATTTTTGTCTTTCCCAACCCTTTCACCAGAGCGTAAACAAGCCCAAGGACTGGTATAGGAGCATGTTTAGACAAATCCACAAGAAACCAGAGGGTATGTGCTCTCCTCCTTTCTCTCTCTCTGAAACAATGAGGACATTCCTCTCCATTATTATCTGTCGTATTCTGCACTGATCCAGAAAGAATAAAGCCAAAGTCTGGCTGGAAATTTTAGACCTCATTTCATGAACATTGTTTAACCTTTCAGCACATGTGGAGCTCAATGAGAAAGTGCACAATTGAGCCTTTGAAAGTGAAACCAGATAAGATTCAGGATACTGCACTGTGCCTTACCTTCATCCGTGAGTTAGAAGATAGAGATTTCAAACTCATAAAAATGTAAAGAGCACAAACTCTTATTGTAAGCAACAATGAAACTGTAGCACAAACACCTGCTGAACTGTATACAGTGCCTTACCTCTAATTACTGTTACAAAACGTCACACAATCCTCTAGGATATTTGGCCAGAGTCCTGCGCTTGATTAATGTACAGAAGTTTGCAGTTTAATAACTGGAACAGCAGCTGATGTAGTTGAGTAATTATGAACAACATAATGCAGCGTTACACAACTTGCTCAATGTGTTTTTATAGACACCATGTTTGACTCAGACTTACTGAGCTTATAGAAAGAAAGAAGTTAATAGCAGGCTGTCATGTGGTAATCTTACATGGTATCTGGTCTTTAAATAGTATAGTAAGTAGTTCATTTAAATGACACCTTTATCCAAAGAGACTTACAGTACAATTATTACACAGTCATTCTCCCACGAGCAACCTGTGATTTGTTGAGATTAAAATGGTGATATAGTTCATGGATTGCTCTGTGCTAACCAGCATCCTATTGCTTAAAGCTCATACAGTACGTTTAACCACTAAACCATATCAACTCTTAGATATTGATATGATTTTAGATAATAACTATGAAGTTGCAGCCAAACATCTGAAGTTCAGTACAGTTAAAACATGTTCTCTTAGCTTAATGCATTGTCTGTTTGTATTTATTATAGCCAATAACTGATACATGGATGATGTTGAAATTCTACAGTACTGTTCAAATGTTTGGGGTTGATAAGATTTTTGAAAGAAGTCACTTATGCTCATCGAGGCTGCATTTATTTGATCAAAAATAGAGTAAAAACAGTAATATTGTAAAATATTATTGCAATTTTGATTTCTTTTTCTATTTTAATATTTTTTTTAAATGTCATTTGTGATGCAAAGCTGAATTGTCAGCATCATTACTCCAGTCTTCAGTGTCACTTGATCCTTCGTAAACCTTTCTTATTATTATCAATGTTGAAGACAAACTATGGAAGCCCGTTTCCGCCACTAAATAAAAAATAAAACAAGGTAATTGCGACTTTTTATCTCACAATTCTGACTTTTTTTT